TGGGGCGCGCTCAGGCTCTGCTCCCCCCACCTCCTTGCTGGTAGGGAAGGTCGGGATTTCTACACCCACCCCCTGCCAATGGGAAGCATGACCTGGTGCTGCAGCTGCACTGGAGGGGGGGAGGGGGAGGAGGAGTGACTGAGCTCCTCCCCTGAGGAACAAGAGCATGCTGTCTGGAGGCTTTGCCTGCTGCAGCAGGGTGCCAAGCCAGGTAAGCATCCCCAAGTCCCCTCTTGTACCCTCCATCCTGGCCTGACACCCTGCCCCAAGATCCCTCCTAGCCAGATGCCCTGAGAACTGAGCCGGGCAGATGGGACCTTCAGATAACTGGAATTTATAGATAACTTGGAATGCCATAATCCCTGAGAGTGCTGGATAACACAGCATAATGGAACATATAAGGAGTAAGTAGATCAAGCGATTGGCAATAGAGTTGCCTTCAAATCAATTTATTTTAGGCAGGCACAGGTTGGACCTCTCTGTTCTGGCATTTTTAGAAGATTTGCCAGACCAGGTGAGGTCCCCTGCCACTAGCCTCCCAGCCCGTCTCCCCTTGTGGCCCATGCCCAGCTGGCTGGTCCTTCTGTACAGACTCTGGCCCCAGTCCCCCTAGCAGGGGCTCCCCAGGGCTGGAGCTCCATGGCCACTGCTGGTCCTGCTACCGCTGGGCTGGAGCTCCCTACAGCGCCACCCACTCCCCATGCCACGGGGCTCCCAGTCAAGTAGCTAGACCTCTCACTGCCCTCTTGGCCTCACTGCCAGACCTCCCTGTTCCTGGCCTCTGTGGTTCAGGAACATCTGTGGTCCAGCAGAGAGTTCAAGTTTAGGGAGCTACACCCTGTAGCGATCAAGAGCTGTAATAATCTTATAAGTATTCTAATATGGCCAACTACTATGTGAAATGATTGAGGTGGTAATTTAGTTCAATTCTTACAGGTATGTGCCTCACAAGAACAACTATTACAAGTGGAACTAAAATGAACCATTTCATCAGTCGCAGTAGATACATGAGTGGATGACTATACAGTCTGAATTCTATCCCTAGTAGTGTTGCAAACAAGCTTGTAGCACAGTGTCAGGAATGTGGGTGTGCCTCCATCATAACAGTTCATTGGAAAGAGAAATTCATTTTCCATTACTATCAACACAGTAACTGAATTAATGAAATTATTCGCTATTTCTCTATGAACTTTCATAGGCATAATCTAACTCAGAAAATTTTATATGACATACATGAAAGAACTTAGTAGACACATATTCAATCATGTAAGTAACAACAGAAATATTAGTCCTGGGAAAATACCCCCAAAACGTTTTCAGAAGGAGTTGAATAAAATTTGATTTTGTCAGCTGTGTTCAACCTCTTTTGTGTTAGCCTTCCAGGAAAACTTGTATAGCTTTATTTTTTTTGAGCAACACCCCCATCCAAGAGAAGTGATTTTTAAGCAAATGCTTGCAAAAACTAAACAAGTCTTCAGATTTGAAATCTGATTCCAAATTATTCATCATATCAGGGACAGAAACAATGGTATGGAAGTTACATGCCCACTTAAAACTAATAACTTCAATTTTAAATAAAATTTCAGACTGCTTACAAACAATATACAGTAATTATTCACAGAAGATATACATTGAAACAAGGCAAAGATATAAACAAAAATCGATATGCTATTCATAGATAATATACAAATAGAAAAGAGGTTACGTTTTTCAAATTACGCATTAGGGCAAGCAGTGGCCCGAGCCACTGTCAACAGGACCCTGGGCTGGAACCCGGTGGAGTGGGAGGGCCTGGGTCCCTCTGCTCCCACTTTGCAGCACTTCTGTGCAGAGGTAATTGCCTTTAGGCCTGTGGACTAGGCCTCAGGGCCATATTTACACCGATATAGGGGAGGACTCAGGCTGCTGGGTCACATTAACTCACATAGGGTATGTCTACACTACACAGCAGGGAGACCCGAGCAAAGCAGCACAGGCGGCGGGACCCCGCTGCCCATGTGGCTTTGCTCCTTTGCCCCGGAGCAAAGCCGCACAGGCGGCGGGGTCCCCTGCCTCTGCGGCTTTGCTCGGGTCTCCCTGGTCTGCTGGGGGGGGAGGGGGCGCAGCTAGTGCACCCCCTCCCCAGCGGACCAGTCTTTTGTTGTGGGACGCCTGGGGTAGAGCAGCTGGGGTGCTGTCGGGTTGGTCCTGCGGGGACCTACCCAGCAGTGCCCCAGCTGTTCTGTCCCAGGAGTCCAGATTCAGCCGCTGTTGAAACTGATCAGTGGCTGATTCCAGGAAGCAGGGGGCAGAGCAACTCTGCCTAGGGCTTCCTGTAGTCAGCTGCTGATCAGTTTCAGCAGCGGCTGAATCTGGAGCCAGTTCCGACTTACATACAAATTCAACTTAAGAACAAACCTATAGTCCCTATCTTGTACGTAACCCGGGGACTGCCTGTACTTAATAAAATATATTTCATCTTCCTCATTTTAAATTTGTAATAGAAGCTTTGATCACTTAAATATTAAAGCATGTGTATAGATAGTTGCCATGGGCATTGCTGAACTCCATTTTTTTGTGACTGCAGCCACTGGAGCAATGGAATCCTTTAATGAAAAATTTTGTGAGTGCTGATATTTGGATGGGTAAATAAGATAACAGTCAAACAATTTCAATAAAAACCTTGAGAGCTGATAGGCTAAAGCTGCAATTCATAAAATATTATTAAAGAAAACAAGAACTCTGATTACAACTAGTGGTTAGTCATACTAAATAGTAATTCTACAAACTGATTTGAGAAGTCGTTTTATGGAGTCCTATGATATGACCTATTTTTTCCTAGGCTGCTGTCTTGCTAAATAATGTTGCATGTAAGTGGCCCCAATAAGATAATGACATGCATAACTAATTGAGGTAAGGCAGGCAGCCATTATTATTTGCTAAGATAAAACTGGGTTAAATGGGGAGCTGGCATGTCATCTGAAGTTGTATCCTCATCAACTTTTGATGAGGGTTTTGGAGAGGGCTGAGGATATGCTTCCAGAAATGACAAAGGGTGTGTCTAGACTACATGGCTCTGTTGACGGAGCCATGTAAATTAGTTTATTCATCATAGTCAAAGAAGCGGGGATTTAAATAATCCCCACTTCTTTAAAATAAACATGGCCACCACGCTATGCCGACGATCAGCTGATACGACACAGCGCAGCAATCTAGATGCAGATTGTCAGCTGGAGAAGCCTTTGCCGATCGATCCCTTATGCCTCGTGAAACGAGGTTTACAGAATCGGTCGGCAAAGGCTTCCCCAGCCAACAGATCCATATCTACACTGCAGCACTGTGTTGGATCAGCTGATTGTAGGCACAGCATGGCAGCCATGTTTATTTTAATGAAGCGGGGATTATTTAAATCCCCGCTTCTTTGACTATGCCGAATAAACTAATTTACATGGCTCCGTCGACGGAGCCGTGTAGTCTAGACACACCCAAAGGGGGCGAATTTCTGTACGTTTCTGAGTTTCTCTTGGAATGATTATTTCGATGCTGCTGTGATTTCATCATGCTTTATAATGTAAGTATTATAACATGGATGTGTAGAAATTGGAGAAGATCCAGAGAAGAGCAACAAAAGTGACAAAGTCTAGAAAACAAGAACTATGAAGGGAAGCCTGAAGGAATTGGGCTTATTTAGTTTGGAAAAAAGAAGACAGAAAGGGGACATGATAGTTTTCAGGTCTCTAAAAGGGTGTCACAAGGAGGAGGGGAAATTGTTCTCCTTGGTCTCTGATGATAGGACAATCAGCAATAGACTTAAACTACAGCAAGGGAGGTTTAAGTTGGACATTAGGATAAACTTCCTAACTGTCAGGGTGTTTAAACATTGGAATAAATTGCCAAGGGAGGTTATGGAATTTCCATCACTGGCGATATTTAAGAGCAGATTAGATAGCCATCTATCAGGGATGATATAGACAATGCCTGGTCCTGCCATGAGGGCAGGGGACTGGACTTGATGGTCTCTCAAGGCCCCTTCCAGTTCTAGTATTCTATGATTCCATGCCTAGAGTCTTGCATAGCATCTTTTTACAATTTTAAATCTCAATAAATAAAAATAACGTAATTACCTTCTGAGCAGGTTTCAGAAGGTAAAAGCTTTCAATTACACCCAATTCAGTGAAACTTGTGATATTTCACTGCCAATTCCTAGATCATCAAGTCCCTTTTGCTTGTTTTAATTTCCAGATTAGAACTTGATTAGTTTGTTCCCATGAATCAGCAATTTGGCAGTTCCATAAAAGAGAGTTAGGCATTATTTCTTAGCTGTAGAACATCAGTGCTTAATATGCTAATCTTTTCCAGACTGTGACTGCCCCAAGACAATGCTTACAAAGTTAGGAATATAATATATATGTCTGCAGTCTCAATTGTTTCTAATGATTAACGGGAATTAGCTCTGGGGTTTTTTGGTATGAAAGAACAAAATTGCAAGTTAATTTACAGGGCACATATTGGAATAAATGATCTTACAGGTCTTTGCCTGCTTCTCTTGATCCAAAAAACAGTCCAAATTCTTTAACCTGAATCCTAGTTTTGGCAGAAAGTTGCTGGCTGGCCTTGGCTAAGTCATAATTTACATGTCTCTGGATTTATAATAGACAATAGCAATAATAATACTGATGCACTCACATCTAAAGATTGCTGCGAAGATCAAGTTAATTTTGAACAAGTATTGTTCAGTCAAGAAATCTATATTTAGGATAAACAGGAGAAATTATTTTAATGCCTGAGGCAGAAACAAAATTAAATTGGAAAAGGCAAGTGTGTTGGCACAGTAAAAATAGAAGCAAAACTATCAAGCATATTTTAATAACTTCAATATTGTGCAGAAGTACCCCTGGAAGGAGTTTAATAGCAGAGTAGAAAATAAAACAGAAAATACTATCCCTACCTTTCCTTTAATGTTTAGATGCTTCCATTAACAGCGACTAGGTTTCATTTTCCATGATTAGTGCAGGATTGCTCATACCTTTGGGGACTGGAAAAATAATATGGTAAAGAAACAGTTACATGTTCTTTTTAAAAGATCTTAATCAAAACAGCATTGTATTTGGTTGCCAATATTCTCTTAAGTTTATTTCATCATCCATTGTATCTAAAAAAATACTGAAAAACATATCCAATTATACAACATCCACTAGTTGCAGTAGTCAAAGTGCCATTACTTTTGGAATAAGCAATTCGATTGACTGATTACTTCTCATAAATATTGGGATTAATCTTGAGAACCAGTGAATATTTGCAATTCCTATTATCCTTAGTGAGAGTTGAGGTATTCCATATCTTTCACAATCAGGCACATTAAGAGTTAGAAGTATAAAAGGGCTTAAAACATGCAAGGGACATTTTACAAACATTCACCCTAAATATTAAACTTTGTAGCAATAACAATTCTTTCCCTTTTTATATTTACATGAAATTAATTTTGTCTCAAACAAAGGTTTTCAGCCATTTTCAGATTATATCTTTCCAACAAGAATTTACATTAAAATTCAGTGGGTGCAACAAATCCATCTCTCACCAACTTTGCCATTTTCATTATTTGCACTACTTTCCGTCCAAGACTGAGTATCAGTAAGAAGGTGGCTCTGGGAATCTCGTAATGTCTTTGCAGGAAAAAGGTGATTCTCACTAATATGTAATTAAAAGAAAATACAAACAAAACAGTAAACATTCACTTTTAGTTAATACCATATACACAATTTATACAACTTGGCTACGTCTACACTGGCCCCTTCTTCGGAAGGGGCATGCTAATTTTGAAAGTGGGAATAGGGAAATCCACGGGGGATTTAAATATCCCCCGGGGGATTTAAATAAACATGTCCGCCACTTTTTTCCCGTCTTGGGGAAAAGCCGGAAAAAAGCATCTAGACTGGCCCGATCCTCCGGAATAAAGCCCTATTCCAGAGGATCTCTTATTCCTACTTTGAAGTACTTTGAAGTAGGAATAAGAGATCCTCTGGAATAGGGCTTTATTCCGGAGGATCGGGCCAGTCTGGACGCTTTTTTCCGGCTTTTTCCCAAAAGCGGCGGCCATGTTTATTTAAATCCCCCGGGGGATATTTAAATCCCCCGTGGATTTCCCTATTCCCACTTTCAAAATTAGCATGCCCCTTCCGAAGAAGGGGCCAGTGTAGACGTAGCCCACATGTAATGGTCTTACAAAAATCTCCGTGGTCATTTTCTGCTGAATTTTTTATTCTAATACAAGCTATCATTCTAATACACGCTAAATATTAGTTCTATCACAGTGACAGGGTACATTCTAAAATGTAATAGTTTGTAATAGAATTGAGACATATTTAGCTTACTGTTTAACTTTTTTCTTTGGTAAATATTAAGGAAGAGTTAACATGTTTGGACTAACTCCAAACCCCCTAAAGACAGTGATTTCAAAAAGTCATTTCATTTATGGCTGAAAAAATGCCAGTTGCCAGCTTCAGCTAAATGTAATACCAGTAGCCCCAATATAATAGCACATATGTCTCCAGCATTCTTCCTCGACCTCAGAGTGGGTGTATCTAGACTACAGGGTTTTGTCGACATAAGTGGACTTTTGTTGACAAAACTATACCTGTGTCTACACTACCGCTGAGTTCTGTCAACAGTAAGTCGACAGAACGCGGCAGTTTTATCGATGACGGTAAACTTCATTCTATGAGGAATAACACATTTTGTCGACAGAGTTCTGTCGACAAAAGGCGCTATTGCATCCACACTGTGCTTTTTCAAAAGAGAGCATCTAGACTCTTTTGAAAGCGGTTTGCTTTGTCAACAGAACTGGCTGTAGTCTAGACACTCTTTGTCAACAGAATCTGTAGACAAAACCTCTGTCGACAAAAGCCTGTAGTCTAGATGTACCCAGTATGTCCATAACCAAGCTAGAAGGTGCAATTCCTATCTTGGATGGATGTACACATGCTAGTTCCACTTGAACTAGTGTCAGATTTAGCAGTGTGGCCATTACACCATGACAGCAGCTTGGGCTAGCTGCCCAGTACGTACCCAGGAGGTAAGATAGGATCATAGTTGAGCAGCAAGCTGAGCTGCCATCCAACCAGTTGCAGCCACACTACTGTTTTTAAGTGCTAGCTCTAGCAGAGCTACCAAAGAGAGGAGTTAACACCTCCCAGCTGCTGTGCAGACATATCCATGGAGAATAGCGAGAAGAGGATCCCTGCCCAGTATAGTCCAACTCCTACGCTCATCTATTTTCTTGCTTTTCAGCATGGTCCAGGGAAAATTATGAGTAACATTTGTTATTAATGAAAGATACAGACCTAATTACCTAGGGATTACAATTAAATCAGTATCCACTCCTTTATATACATAAAAAGTGCCAGAAATGCCCTATGCTAGAAATACTATAATCATGTTTCTTTGATTGGGCTTTTAACTACAGTATTACAGTTTTCTAAAGGTAATAATTATTAAAAAAATTAAACCGGTGAAAATAAGATTTTAATTGGAGAAAATATTGCTGAATTAAAATACAACTGCTTTATTTAACGGAACACTTCAGCCTAGTCATCTGCATCAGAGAGTTGCTGCATTCTGTTTGCCATGGCAGTGGTTAAGGTGAAAATATTTTTCTCTATTCAGCAATACGATCTACAAAATCTATGCAAGAACAACTATTCTGAGTTATATGCAGTTGGATTAATGCATTCTGTCTTTCAACAACAAAACTTAAGAATTCTTTGCTATAAGGAGCAGTAAATTTCTCTCAAACAAGATCACTTTCGTTTGGTCAGTCTGCTTGTGTAAAAACAGCATTGAGGCAGAAGAAATGTGCACTCTGTGATTTTTATCTAGTTCTGATCAATGAAACTGAAATCAGCGGAATTAAAAAAAACTTTATAAAGATGCCTTACATTATGCTCCTTAGAAGGAGGTTTTTAAAATGCACATCTATATCTACAGGGCTTGCCAAGTGGCGGCAAGCTCCACTTGCCAGCTGCATGGTTTCGTGCAGTTCTGCGTTCTGCGCCAGCTCTTCCGGGTTGTGATCTACTCACCACGTGTGAGTAGATTACATTATTTGTCGAGCCCTATATATCTATCTATATATATGACTACATTAGTGATAGCTGCCCAAAATAGCAAATGAAAAGTAGAGGAATTTACTGTAACAGCCACAAGCAGACATACTTTTTGGTTGTTGAATTAAGTCCAACAGGTGTGGAAACTTGTTCAGGATCTTGGTTAACAAGACAAGTTGGGAAGGAGCAACCATCTCCTAGACTACATAGAAAAAAAAATGTTTAGAATTAGCGTAGCACTTATACAAGCAAAATAACAATACTTCAAATATTTATTTTACAATTCCTTATTTCAAAGCCTCTGCTTTATTTCACAGGATTTTTTTTTAAAAGTACTGCTAACTACTTCTTGATATCTCTCAGTTATTAAGAGACAGTATTATACATACCTTGAAAATACAGGCAGCAGCCAAAATTTCTTTTCATCACCAAATACTTGTCTTAGATTTTTGCTGAAGCCCAAGCTAAAACCATTCTTGTCTGTTCCATGGCGAAATATAGGTGCCCTGAATGCCTCTAGAAAATTAGAAAGATGTGTCATATTTCCTGCATAAATACGTTTAATTAAACACCCCTGATTATTTATATAATTATACTGGTAACCGCAGGCTTACTAGTCCTCTTGGCTATGCAATATTACCTTTTAGAGGGAACTGCATAATGCCATTTCAGGTATTGCACAGCCTCCCAAAACTACTTCCCTTTGAAAGGAAAAGATGTAAGTACTAGTGCCCAATTGCCATACCTGGTAAAGAAGACCTACTGCTGGGGAGGAATAGGAGTTTTTCCTTGTCTGACAGGTTTAGCAAACCAGGGAGTTTTGTGGTGTTAAGAGGTCTCCCCAGATAACTGTTCCGTAAAAGAGAGGCCTCCCTGAGAAATTTTTTCAACCCATTCACAAATCAAACAACTGCAAATGGAGAAGAAGGAAAGGAGCCACCCACTTAGAGCATGAGGGAAACCTGAATGCCAAAGATCGATGTGAGAAGTCCACTTTTACCTCTGACCTTTTTATGAGGTCCTGAGATTTTCATTC